GTACTTATGGATAATCGTTTAGAAACACGTTGTTTCCAAGTGTGAGAAAAAAAGAACAAGAACATAAGGATATGTAATAAGAAAGGTCAAGATTGGAGTTTGGAGAACTGGTTTCGCGGAGAAGAATAAGAATAGCTTCTCTCGCTGAGAAGATCATCGTTTTCGGCTTCGTTCCCATCTAAGCAAAGAATGTTTATGTTGTCGACACTAGGTTCGGATGAGCTGCTTGTCGCTACCGGAGAGTTTGTGACACTAGCCGTCCGGCTTCTGACGCTGTACATTGATGATGCCGGAACTTTCGTCACAAGCGGCCTCAGATTTCCTGTCATGCCTCGTCTTATATCCTATACACATAGAGATCAAGAGTTGAAGTTATTATAACCGGAAAGAACTCATAATTTGACAGTAATTCAGCCAAGAACGTGAGCTCATTGGTTATTATAGCGGACAGAAGCCTATGCTTCTCTACGAAAAGAAGTAATTTAACAGAATATTGGAAGACGTGATCGTACCATATGTCTTAAGGCCATATCGATTGAGCTCTTGGAGAGGTTTCTACCATACCCAAGGCTGTTAAAAGCTGAGCTAGATTTCCCTGTTCCTCGACTACCGCTTTCGGTTAGCCGTGGTGGACCTAGTTTCCTCATGTTCACCACTCTCTCGACCATTTTATTTCCCATAGCCACTGGGCTCAAGCTATCGCAGCTATTTCCACCATTGCTTGCCTTTGCTCGCCCACGCACACCCGTGAGACTCCCGTTGGTGTTCCCGATAGGCGCCCGGCCTCTGGAAGGGGAGCAAGATTGCCTTCTTGAATGTCCCAAGCCACCACTAATGGGGCCATTGCCGCGTTCTATAGAACCCGATCTTGAACCTGGTGCTGAGGCTACTCCGGGTCTGCCTCTTGAAACTGATACCGGCCTGTCTTGTAAAGTGGTCCTCAGATTCGGTGGGGCTTCTAAAGAGAAACCAGGCATCTCAGGCGGTTTCCACGGCCTTGACGACTTTACATTTGGAGAAGTCCCTCGCGATGGAGCCTTACTCGAAACTATTGATGGACCGGTCGGGGTTGAAGGTCTGCGTGTTGGTGTGGCTGGCCTTGATAAAGGCTTTTTAGAAGGTGCAGAAGATGGCCGGGTCATAGTTCGAGTTGGAGTAGCTGATCTAGCTGAACCAGTTGTTGTAGTCGTGGTGCGTGGAGCCGCGGTGGAGGTAGTAGCACGTGCAGCGGTTATGGTAGCACGTGAGGTGGGTGTTGAGGATCTAGAGTTTGAAGCTCTAGTGGTCACAGGCCTTGTTGTGGAGGTGGTTGGAGTTGTAGACCTTCTGGTTGGTGTGCAAGGTCTGCTACTTGACCTTGAGCTACCTGAGGAAGATGGTCTTCTAAGTCCAGCTACAGAGGAAGAGCTGCCCCCAAACGACGACATTTGAGGATTGTTATTGTTCCTTGAGACTATCTCTTCACGGCAGTTCCCTAGCTGCAGAATCCAACTAGAGTTTCATCAATGCTTCTAGTTACAAAGACAAATGTAAAACTTGGACCAGGGACATTTTAGAGGAACTGAATCAGTTCTGTTTTAAGAAGTTTTATACCCGAGATTTAAGATTCGTGGGGCGAGAATTGGGAGCATCGAGCTGATTTATTACGCTTCTATGTGACTCTTTCTCGAACTGCGGCGTGCCTGGCGGCGTTAGCAGCCTGAACAAGAGACAAGAAAACAACAACAAAGATGATAAAGTTGTCTCTCATCAGACCAGTGATCCATCAGAGAAGGAGATATTCAATTACACTCTTGTACTAAGCTGAAATGATGTTAAAACAAATGTTCCAGAAAATTAAATGGCTCATTTAAGTAGTTGAACCTTAGTTTCGGGCTAATTTCATTCTAATTTGGATAACTCAATCACTATATATTCCCAAATTGTTGTTTTTCTAATTTCTCAATGCACAAATTACAAATTTTTTTTTTTTGGGAATTTTGGTTCTAAATTTCTGATACTAAAGTCGATATTTTTAGAAGTGAAATCAAATGGAAACATTACCAATCGTAATCGGACTTCTCATTTTCCGAGTACAGGAAGTTCTCAGCGGCGGTTCTCCGGGGAAGACAACGTTGAGACGACATCGTTTCGGAGATACCAGAGAGTGCCGTCGCCGCCGCAGTCCTCAACATTCCGTTGATACTACTAACATTATCAGATCCTAAAAAGAGAGAACAAAATTCAAACACCATTGCCCAAAACACAGATTATATACAAATGATTATATAAGTT